TTTGTCCCAAACACCATTTTCCATCTCATCCTCTAAAACACAGGTAAACAGTATAACTACATCTGAACACATGAACACATTCTTCCATTACAGTGACACCAGTCCTCACATTAGCCTTGAGTCAGTCACCAGCCTCAGCTCTGGTGTCTCAGTAATGAACAGTGATCCAGGCTGTGGATGGGTAATAATGGAGTCTACATGGCTCTGTGAGCCAGTCTGCGATTACTGCGAGGAAGAGACAAATATTTGCATAAGGAGGAAAGATTATGACTGTTTCAGGTTTCATTCTCTGTAGTTAGATGATATCTGACTGTGTGAGGCCACATCACTTCATTCACTTTGGACGTTACTTGCATTTTGCAAATCAGCTCATTCTGATATTAAAGAAACGAGAGAATCTCTGTCACTGCTCCCTGCCTACTGGACCCTGAGGCCAGAGGTTAAGACGCCTTGACTGGACAATGTGAAAGAGACTTATATTTAGTTTGGAAAAACATTGAATATCAGCTGGTTTAAAGCTGATATTCTGGTGAAACAGGAGTTTTTCACCCTGACGTATTAAAACCAGAGGAGAACCTATAAAAACCTACATTTTTGACTTCATATACCTCAGATCTCAGTATGCAGATTACGAGCTAGTGATTTTGTCAACAAATGAGCATTAATAGCATTGTAGAGTAGAATGTGTTGGGTGTGCATGAACAACCAGTTTACCTTATCCAGACAATCCAGATACAAATGTGTCAGTTAAAGGGGCTGAAATCATTTACTCTAGTTGTGGGTGTGTGTGCTAATTCAGCATACACTATATTCATGCTCAAGTCACAGTAAGAAAGAAAAGTTTTTATTGTGTCTCCAGTTGATTTTAAAATTCTACATGGTGATGAATGAAATATTCTCCTCTATATTTGAACATTCGCCTCACATACAAGGCTAACTTCTACTGATAGACATACAGTTCAGCTGCAGGTTGATGTGTTGAAGTGTGTTTTATTCAGTATTAGTGACTCGTGTTTGATTGTATGACAGACAGATAATAATCCTGAATCACTTGCTTCAAGCCTGAAATAAAAAGCTCATTCACAGCTCAGTACCTGAGAGTTTGCACTTTTGCCACAATTTTAAATTGAAGCTCAGAGAAAATGACTTTGCCATGTTTGAATACTTATGTCAGTGTGATAGTTCTGTTTTTCCCTTTTTAATAAATTTGCAAAAAATCTAAAATTCTGTTTTTGCTTTAGCTTTATGAGTGTAGATTTTTATTTTAGCATAAAACTGCAACTTAACAAAATGTGTCTGAATACTTTCTGAATGCACTGTATATTTACTGTGTATATATATATAGATAGATAGATTCTTTCATCTGTTTGCATGTGTTTTTCTTTAGCTATGTCTTGAGCTCTCAGGGCCAGAGCACTTATCTAAGTAAATATTAATACATGTGATAAAATCAGCATATACTGTGTATATATTTCTGCCATGCCTTACAGTCTCCATTGAACCCTCTTGCCACCCCATGAATATTTCTCTAGATCCAGCCCTGATCCACAGTCTCGTCTGTGGATACGTTTAGGCACCAAAAGCACTTTGGTTAAGGTTTTGGCCGGGTTGCGGTGTTGCTGACTGTTGTTTGCCAAGAAATAGCTCCTGAAGCAGCTGTTTTATTTCTTTAATGCTCACCTTGTTAGCTTCACCTCAACCCCAAACCAAATCAGAAAATGTTCTAACTCTGAACAGCTCTCTCTTGACCACTGACCCCATGCACCCTGCTAAAGCTGCTAAAGTTTACTCTAGCTTCAGTGACACCCCCCTGAGCACACAGAAATATATCAATGGGACTTCACATGAGTGAGGACGTGTGGAAAAATCTTCCACGGAATATTAACCTACAGCAGATCTGTGTGCACCTGGTCTAATCTTAGCTGCCCAGAAAACCAATCAACCCCCCGTGAATACTTTTAAAAGGTGCTCAGTGATAAATGGCCACCAGAGGAAAAGAAACCAGAAAGAAACCAGACAGTAAAAGACAGAGGAGGCCAAGCGGAGGGAATAAAGGACAGTTGGAGGTGTGAGAGAAGAGACAAGCCAGGGTTAGTTGCAGAGGAAAGAGGCAGGCAGACATGACGTGATAGATAGTGAGGAGGACAGTGATGACAGAACAGAAGAGCAGCAGAAACTATCCCATCCATCACTGTGATAGCATCACCTCCAGCAGGGTCCCCTGTCTCACTCTCACTGACAGACTGACTCACACACAGTCTATACATTCACCTTCTGTACGCCCAGGCTTTTCCTCCACCATGCCCCAACATATCCAAAGGTTCGTGAACTACAAAGTGTGCATGCTTTACATCATTTCTGACTGTTTTTAAATGATGAAGTTGTTGAATTGACCTTTGAAGCCTCCACTGGTTTCTGTTCACTTGCATGAGATTGCTAAGCAATGATCAATAAACGTTAAGTTGCTTTACCTTTTGTCTGAATTACATTATCATTACAAACTGGGAAAACTCTCCTCGTTGATACATTCAAGGACACTTGGAGATCTGTACTGGAGAACTTCATTTTTAAAAAAGGAAAACTACAGTTTATGTAGAAGAGAAACAGTAAACCAGCCATCTACTGTCAATGGTGGAAAATCAATTCATCTACTCAAGCACTGTACTTGTATTTTACTTGAATATTTCAATTCTTGCCACTTTATATTTTAACTTCACTACATTTTATTGCAAATATTACTTTTTGTCTCATTTGAAAGATATAGTTACACCTACTTTACAAAACGCAGATGAGTTTATATACAATGTGATGAGCTTTTAAAATGTGAATATGAATAATTCATGAATTGATACAGCACATAAAAACATACATACAAAGTATAATGGCTCCTCAGGTCCCCTCGGCCCACGTCCCCATCGCCAGCCCACCTGCACCTCATTCCCTGATCAGCCTTACAGTACCTACATCAGTTCACCTCCTTTGTTCCTCACCAGAGCGTTATGTCATGTTGCTGTGTGCAGCATGTCTTGGTTCTGGGTCTCTGCCTGTGAATATCTGAACTTGTTCAGCCTGCCCATCTGGTTTTGACCCTTGCCTGTCTCACCATCCTGTAAGCCTTTGTCTGTCTCCCAGTCGGCCATCCTCCGGCCTGCTTCCGGGCGACTTCCTGGGGTATTAGCTGGAGCTATCCAGGGGTCAAGGCTTAAACAGCTTCATATTGATGAATAAATGCAAAGTAATGCATGCAGCCCAACCTCCCTACGCTGAGAATTAATGAACCAAAATCACACATTTACTGCACCCAGCGTTCACTGAGGCTCTATGCTAACAGAAGAACTTGAAAGAAAGCTGCATCACAGGTTCTTTGAAGTTAGCAATCACCCACTCAGTGTCGTTCTTTTGACAACAATCTGAAGTCCTTTCAATACAGCTTAACGTAACACTTAAAAAGCTTCTTTTTAGCCTCAAATCAAAATAGCGTGAGTAGTGATAAATCACAGGTACACTTCTTAAAGATGACAAATAACTTAAGAAATCATTTGGTCACATGGGATGAATTTATATTTACTGATGATGGGACACATCTTATGAATATGGATGTCTTTTAACATTAAATCAGTGCTCTGTGCAGCTTTAATAGCAACAGTTAACAGAGGGTTTCCTGCTAAGAAGGCGAAGACCTTTGTCATCATCACCATCTGATTCTGCTGTCCGCCCTCCACTGTAAACTGACCAGTGAAGAAAAGTCATTAAAACTGAAACACATATATATGCTGTAGATTCATGCAGGTAACCATGTAGTAACAGCTGGTGTCATGCTCTCAGATGGCTGCCAAACTCTTCATATCTAAACTGTGAAATGTTAAATGAAGCTTTGCTGCCTGGAACAGACACTGACACTACAACAACTATCCTGCTCTTCATGGACACAAGTGAGGAATACTACTGCTGATGATTAATACTTTATTTGTTCTTCCCTGTCTATCCTTGAGCGATGCGCAGACTGAAGATGGTTTTATCACCCGGGGCCTGTAACATTCCATGACTGCACAAGATCATTATGTTAATGCTGTCCTCTGGAGTTGGGACGGTCACTGCTGTCACTACCAGGTTGACATTCAGACACTGACACATATTCTGGTCAGAGGAGACTGAGCAACAATATCTGTTTAGGAATCAGAGCGCTAAAAGAAAACCTAGGAAATCTAAAAACAGTGTGCTTACACACTTTTAAAAAAAAAACTGCTAAACTGAAGTGGGGGTCAGTGCCTCTGAGGTATGTGTTGGGTCTGACCTCTGACAGCTGGGTCAGGAACCCATACACAAATGTAACACACATATATTGAATTTCCATATATGAAATAAATGTATGTGAACATATAAAATAAAAACATGTATGTAAAAATTATAAATGAAACCAATTATAAATTGGAACAATTTCATATATTGACATATATGTCCAGCCCATACAAATGTGTATGTTTATGTATATATGCTTATACTGTAGACATACTGTATGTTACATAAATATATATATCCATCCCAAAGCCTGTTCATATATGTTGACATTATACACAGTAGGGTCCAATAGTCTGAGACCACTTTAACAAAATGTGAAGATGTTTAAAGTTAATGCGAAATTAATAATAAAATATAAACATATAGGATTTTTATATTATGTTGTTTTAATAAACTTGCATATATAAATTAAATATAAATCATTAACAAATATTTTGATGATGTGTTATAGTATATAAAAATTCATCATAGATATTTTTAATATATGTACACATAATAATATACACACATTTTACTATGGGTGTTTCATAAATGAAAAATAAAGATATATGAAACAGAGGATACTATATACTGTATGTGATAAAAAGATGAGAATATATGGCAACATCACTCTTTACATAGGGACATATATGCCATATATTACATTTCTGTATGGGCAGCACACAAGAACAGACGCCAGTCAAAAGAGTCACATTTCCTACCTGTGTGGGGTTGTAGAGCTCCTGCAGGGCGTTGCGGGACCCTTTCCTACAGCAGCCGTCCACCATGAAGGGGTTCCTCCGCATGACTGCAAGGTAGATGAGACAACAATGAGAACTGAGGACACTCTTTTTGTTGGATAGGACAGTGAAGAGAGACAGGAAAAAGAGAGAGCAGGGGAGCAAAGAGTTGAACTCAGGTCGCCACAAGAAGCGAGGACTCTCAGACAAACCAAAGGAGAAGGAGTTGTGATTTTTATTTTGGAAATACTGTACATGTTGTAGTGATGTATACCAAATATCTCCAACCATAGTAAGCAGTAATTTTCATTTGGCTTTTGCCTCTGCCTCCTTTCCGTTGAGCAGATTTCAGTATCTTTAACCTGAGGAAGAACCACAGATCTGCATCACTGCTTCATATCGCCGAGTTTTATCATGTATAATCAGTGGAGTCAGTCCTTCACTCTGCTTAATCCTCATGACTGATGCAAGAGTGAAATCCTTCTACTCTTTGTTTTGTTGTGGACCCCCTGGACACCTCCTAAAGGAGGCCTCTTTGGGAATCATTGCTTTAAATCACCAACTGCTGCAAGTAGGAGGCAGAAAGCTAAAGGGATAAATAATGAGAGCAGTGACTATATGCCAAGGGCAAAGCCACAGTTCAGTGTTTGTTTGGCTGAATCTCAACTCTTTACAGAACTCGATACAGAGCAGTAGCTGCTGGCAGTGGCTCAGTGGGAGCAGCCAGCGAAACACTACCCCGCCAACACACTCTCTCCAATTACTCTGGATGGAAAAGTGCTGAAGGACAGCGTAGGAGGGACAGCGAAGAAAATGAAGCGTGAGGAAAACAGCCAAGGATTTAATGTCAGTTTATTCCACATGTCATCTGCCTCATGTTCATGAATGAACATGTGTTGACACAGATGATGCATATTCACACTTATACTTGAGTTACAGTGCATCACATCACATATAATTAAGACAATACAACAATATGAACAACAACTCATAGCTGCTGATACACAGTTGCGCATATTTCATTTTGTAACCTTATTGTTGTGAGCAGTTTTTTACTGATGACTCGATACATCGATGAGCACATGAACAGGAAATAATTGATTAAAAGTAATTTTCAATTGATGTGATTGATTAATCTAAAAGAAATAAAACATTGTTGGTAGTGATGATCGTAAACGGAGCATCTGTGGCTTCTGGACAGAACATTCATTCATTTGAAAGATGTCAACTGGAAAATTTTGATGAATAAGTTTCACCATTTTCTGACATTTTCAAGGCTCAAAAAAAACAGATGAACAGTGATGGAAAGAATAGTTGGTTGCAGCTAGAGCCACAGCCACCTTTTACATTCTACAGTTAAAAAAGTATTTTTCATGGAGCATGGACCCAGATCTAGACCTTTGTGATGCTCAATTTTGCAGGACTGTAACTGCCGCTAATATTTTACCAAGGCTACATAATCCTGTGAATTATGGAGAGTTCTAATGTCACCCCTGTTAGCTGCTGTTCCCCTGGAGTTTGTTACTGCAGGCATCTGTTCATTCATCAAGCGTTTCCTTCATCAGCGTTTCCACCATATTCTCAGTGCAAACTCGTCACACACAGACATCGGTCAGGAGCCCTTGGTGTTTTAACGCACTTGGTATAGATAAATTGTGATTTTTCAACATGCATCAAAAAGAAACACAAAACCACCACAAAGAAATAAAAAACAACCACAGAGATAAACAAAACAACCACAAAGAGACACAAAACAACCACAAAGAGACATAAAACAACCAAAAACAGACGCAAAATCACCACAAAGTGAGGTAAAAACGACCACCAAGCGATGCAAAGTGACTACAGAGACTCGATTGACTACATAAAGATCCAAAATGACTTCAAAGAAACACAACTACAAGAAGATGCAAAACCACCACAAACTAGAAAAAACAAGGTTGTTTGCCTCCAACAACCAGTTAAGTTGCAGGAAATATGCCCACAATCTCCTCCTCTGTTCCTTAGTTGAATAACGGCCAAGTGTTCAGATCGTTATGATGTCATTGTGAAGTGGAACTTTGACCTTTTGGATATAAAATGTCATCACATCATCATTTTATCCTGTAAGACATTTATGATAAATGATGTCATAATTTGTGTAAGAATTCTTGAGATATGACCAAAAATGGACTGCACTTTTTGGCTTAACACTTTTCTTGTCTTATCAACCAATCAGAGCGCTTGACCATACTTCCCTCACACATTAATACATTACACACATACACACACTGGAACATCAACCAGGGGCTATTTGGGGTTCAGTATCTTTGACACATGGGCTGGAGGAGACGGGGATCGTCAATGACATTCTGATTTGTGGACAACCTGACCTAACGCCTGAGCCAGGGGTTAGATCAGGTTGCCACAGCTGACCCTCATAAAGGCGTGTTTTGTCAGTGATCTTGACCTCGACCTTTAACAACTTCTTCTAATCTCTTCTAATCAGTTCATCCTTGAGTCCAAGTGAATGTTTGTGCCAGATAAAATTCCCTCTGGATGTTCCTGATAAATCGTGAGAGTGGGAAGGACAGAGGGATAACTGATCGAAACGATCCCTCTAGCCGTGGTTGTCACAGGCGCGGAGGCAGAAGAAAAGCAAAATATTATGTGCTTCTATCTGCTCTGTGTGTTTGCCTACACTGTGCAGTGGGAGTAGTAAAGGATGCAAATGTGCGCATCTGCTCTGTAAAGCATTGAGCATCAGAATCCACCTTTACATCGACACACCTGCTGGAGAGCTGAACCATGTATGTAGAAACGTGTTGTCTACAAACACATAAATCAGCATGATGAGGATGTTCTCTGTGGTTCTCTGGATTTTCATCTATTATTTCTGAGGTATTTCAGCCTATTTTCTGCTGCTGTAGTGGTCAAAGGATTCGTCTCCTCTCCCTCTCACTTCAGAGGTACATCAAAGCACAGAGGAGGATTCACGTGTCTCAGCAGGCTGTTGATTTTTTCAAATCCTGGTTAAAAATTGAAGAATGGAGTGTGGAGGGGTTGGCGTTGACCACAGATATACCCGGTATCCCTGTATGTGAACTGTAATTCCTCTATTGGCCCAAACCAGATCCACTGACAGAGCCCCAGGGAGCGTGCTGAGCGCTTGTTAGTGTAATGAGCCCCAACAGACAGCCGTGACCTTCAAACAGAGAGGGGAGGATAGAGAGAGGGAAGGGATGCGTTTACACTTTCAATACACACATTCCTGTAAATGCACGATTAACCACAAACACACACACACACACACACACACACACACACACACACACGAGCATGATTGATAACCTTGTTGCTATAGCTGGTCTTAAATAATGCAGTACAGCTCTCCGTTCTACTGTGGACGATGTATACGGGCAATTACTGTATTCTCAGAGGAGGAGCGCTCTCGGTGCAATAATAAAATGTACTTTCTAGGCTTGCTCATGTTAAAACACATATACACACTCATGCACACGCATGCACACACTTCCACTCCAGAACAGTGGTGAATACTGTGGACGAGGACCTGAAGTGGAGCTCATGGTTAATGAAGATTCACTCCTGGTGTGAGTGACTGCACCACATAGCACCGATGGGCCACAGAGCTGTGGTGATGTCCGTTAGCACCGGAGAGACTGTCGCTAATGACGACGGTCGCCAAAATAAATCAGGTTGACAGTCTGGCTCCTGATGACCGATTTCATTCGATGTATAACCAGCAAACACCCACCCAGTCAACAGGAACAGAAAGTCACCCCAAAGTCCACCCCCCCAACACCTGGCTCTTTGGTTGGTGGGAATTGAGCTGTAACTATGGAAACCGCTGCCCTTCACCATCCTCTCACCTGCAGCAGCTGGCTGGACTCCTCAGGGATGAATCAGGTAAGGTCATGGGAAAGCGGAACTTTTTCATTTCGTCAGTGCTGACAGAGCTCTGATGAACATGTACATGTTTGATGTTACAGCCAGCAGTGCATGTTCAATAATGAATGACCAAGTGTCTTTAGAGGAGAAACAGGTGCTGGGACTGAACACAGAACGCTATACTGCAGCCAGAAAATCCAAGGTTTCAGCGAAAGGAGGAAGCCAGGGTAGAGGAGGTGTGGGGAAAACGAGCTGAAGCCACTGTAGATGATACACCAGCTGATAATACAAACACAGTCTCTTATATTCCCTTTTTAATCTTCAATAGTTTTAGTCCCTAATGTCTGGTTTAGGAGGTTGGATCTTTTCTCACTGTAGTCGTATCTTCCCTGCTTCCCTCTCATTTTCTCCCTGCACAGGAGCATGATGGGATTGTGTGTGTGAGACAGGCAGCTGCCCTGCAGGGCAAAGTTCAAATAAACACAGTTTGACCTGTAAGAAGATTGTGCTGTTGAAACCAATCACACCTGAGAGATGTTTTAGAGGCAGTGGGGCATATAGGGTATTTATGTGTCTTTTCCCGCTCACTAGTAGCTATGAGTTATTTTATAGACTGTATATGCACTTTATTTTGTATCTTTATAGACACACCCCTGTTCAATGTAACGCATTTCAGGCATGAGAGAAACAATGTCTATATAAGCTGTTGGCTTGCACCCAGAGAATATCAGTTACACTGCTGCAGACCAACCAAATCGCTGCTCCTTTTCCTTTATTCTTTCAGAATAAAACCAATGTCCCTTTTCTTAAAATATTTTCATTCTGAGTCTGGTCTGATTAAATCAGTAACGTCTGATTTCTACAAGAAATGATGTTAAAATGATGTTGCATCAACCTACAGAGAATTATCAGCTCATTCTGCAGCTCCCTTCAGCTTTACTGAGCTTTCTGAGTTTCAGCTGAGTGTTTATCTGTTTACTGTTTGGTTCACTCCCACTGTTCTCATGGCATTGTGTTTGGATGCAGCATCCAGATGTTTTCAGAGAAACATCTGTAAAACGTGCCACTGTGCACTACCTGCTCAGCAGCAAACAGCAGACAGACAGCGTCAGAGAGAAGCTGGTGAACATAGCAGAGCCTCATAGGAGCCTGTGGAGACCAAACACAGAGCTAAAAGAGA